ACTGAGCCATTTTACCTGCCTCAGCTTTTTACTTCTCTTATGTGGTTTTGGGGCCTGGGGCTGATGAGGGTGTGTGGGTGGGTGGGTTGGTGGTTGTATTGTGAATGATGGGATCTCACATACCCCCTTGTGACCTGAAATCCCTGATCCTCTAGCTTCCCACTCCCAAGTCTTGCCAATCCAAGTCTGGGATTATAGTCTTGCCCCATCTGGCTCGAGTTGTGCAATGCTGGAGAGCAAGGCTGGGGCTTCCTGCGCGCTAGACAAGTGCTGTACCAGCCGAGCTTGCTCTCTCACCCCAGGAAACTTTCTTTAAAGAGACACTTTGTCCTTAAAAAAAAAAAAAAAGTAGATTCAGTTAGATTCTTTACTTTCAAGGTAACTTTGGCTTTGGTTCTGTTATAACTTGAAATTAATTTGCTAGTATATTTTTTAAAAAATTTATGCTGTATTTTATTACACAGCATTGGCCAGCCTCAAAGTATGATCTTCCTGTCTCAGCCTCCTGAGTATTAGAATGAAGCTGTGCACAGAGTGAATGAGAAGCAGATTTAGCTATGACTAATAAGTTGTTCTCTCTCCCTTGATTCACTTGTCAGCCTATTTCTGTCGGTGACACTGCAGGGAGCTTTTTATCAGTTACGTTAAAACTGCACCCTTTATAAACACTGTCTCTGTGCTAGACCACCACTGTCTACTCAGCAGTGTTTGGCAGTTCCTAGTACACAGGGATGCACACATTGAACTGCCCTGTATTCCAGCAGTCTGCACTAATGCTGTGCCACGGACAGTGTTTGTAAGTGACCACTTGAGCACTGGTGGACGGTTAAGTTTCTATCAATGGACATCCAGAGCCCCCTTTGGCAGCATGCATTCTCAGTGTGTTGTGTTGGAATTGTCCTGTTCTAGAACTCGACCATCGATCTGCCGCCCTCTGCAGAAGTACTGAACAGCAGCAGTTCTTGTGGTAGAGAAAATGTTGCTGAACCCAGCCTCACTGTTGCTTTTGGAAGCGGGTATCTACTGACGCTCAACTTCACGAAAAACGCAACCCTTTATCGTGTCCAGCACATGCGCTTCACATACAACTTGTCAGACACACAGCATTTCTCCAATGCTAGCGCCAAAGGTGGGACCTCTGTGGTAATCCCACACCTGGAGGGACGGGTGGAGGACCGGCCTTTCCAAGAGCCACGCGAGGGTCTCTTAGGTCCCTGCCTTTCTTAGTCCTGACATCCTTTTTCTCTTCTGTCCCTTTCTTTTAGATGCTGGCCAGAGCCTAAGTATGTTTTCTCTGTACTTCAGGCTTTTTTACTCCCCACTGTGGCTGACTGCATGCAGCTAATGGCATGGCTCTTCCTTTTCCGTTTCTCCACCTTCCTCCCTCAGTTAGCCTCTGAGATTTACGGCTTGCTTGCCCTGAGGTTTTTTTCTTTTCCACTAATAAACTGTCTTTAAGCTTCAAAAGAAAAGAAAGAATACAAATTGGTGGTAAATAAGTCACATTTTACTAAGTACTACCTACAGTTAAAAATTGTGTGTTTTGTTTTGTTTGTTGATTTGGATCTAGGGATCCACTCTGTAGACTCCATAACTGACATCAAGGCAGACATCAACAAAACATATCGATGCTTGAGTGCGACCGAGGTCCACATGGGCAATGTGACCATCACACTCCGTGATGTCACTATCCAGGCCTACCTGTCGAATGGCAACTTCAGCAAAGAAGGTAAGGTGCTGGGATGAGGTGTCCACAGGGCAGTGAGACTGTGCCACCACCTGGCAGCCCTTCTGCTTTTACCAGATGCCTTTTACCTTCTGCCTTTGAAGGTGAGAGTGGGTACGTCCTGGTGAAGAGGCGAGAGCATGGGATTAAACACTTGGTCTCAGTCACCCATGGAATGTGAAAGAGTGATCTTGTCAAAACCCTCTACCTGTGAGCCAGTTTCCTTAGACCAGCTCAGGCAAGCTCAGGGTTGGCTTCACCTTATGGCCCCTGGCCTATACCTGTTGACTAAGCTGGTGATCCCTGATATCCAGTCAGCTCTGAAATTGTCCATTGGACAGGTGAGGGTATGTGATTTGTCTAAGATTTACTTGACCTAACAGCCTTCCAAAAATCCAGACCTGCCCTGATTGGCTTTTCTTCTTAGGCTTCCTCAGCAACCCTAATGGAAGACTGTAACGTAACTGCTGGAGGAGCTGACTCAGGCTGTCTTTCAGCTCTGTCAGTGGAGGGTCAGGGTGTAGCACTTATTTTCTCCACAGGTCACACTAGTGCGGGCCCTGTTCTGCCCCCTAAAGTTAAACAAAAAAAGTGTTTCATTCATAGGGAGCTGTTGTGAAGTCAGTGTCTAGAAACAAAGCTTTGCTGTGACGTTGTCATCCCTTTTGTTTTGTTGAGACAGTCTCTCTATTACTTTTTTTTTTTTTTTTTTTTGGATTTTTGAGACAGGGTTTCTCCGTAGCTTTTTGGTTCCTGTCCTGGAACTAGCTCTTGTAGACCAGGCTGGCCTCGAACTTACAGAGATCCGCCTGCTTCTGCCTCCCGAGTGCTGGGATTAAAGACGTGTGCCACCACCGCCCAGCTATCTATTACATAATTCTGATTGTCCTTAAGATCATAGAGTAGACCAGGCTGGCCTCAAATTTACAGAGATTTACCTGCTTCTGCCTTCCAAGTGCTGGGATTAAAGGTGTGTGCTACCATGCCTGGCGGCATAGCCATTTGCACTAGTTACAGGTGCTCCTGCACTGATGTAAGCAAAGCCCAGTTGTAATAGAGTCCTCATCTGAAATACATATTGTCACGTTACAGATAGCACTGGTTTTTTATTCTGTTTGTTTGTTCGAGACAGGGCTTCTCTGTAGTTTTGGAATCTGTCCTAGAACTAACTCTTGTAGACCAGGCTGGCCTCCAACTCACAGAGATCCGCCTGCCTCTGCCTCCCAAGTGCTGGATTAAAGGAGTGCGCTACTACCGCCTGTATTTTGTTTTGTTTTTCTAAAAAATTGTGGGGTTTTTTTGTTTTGTTTTGATAAGATTTATTTATTATGTATACAATATTCTGCCTGCATTTATGCCTCCAGGCCAGAAGAGGGCATCAGATCTCAATACAGGTGATTAAAGCACTGTATGGTTGCTGGGAATTGAACTCAGGACCTTTGGAAGAGCAGCCAGTGATGGCTTTTAACACTCTTTTGGTTTCCTAGGCATTGTTTCTCTGTATAACAGTCCTAGCTGTCCTCTGTAGACCAGGCTGGCCTCAAACTCACAGAGATCTGCCAACCTCTGCCTCTAGAATGCCACAGTATATACTCTTAACCATCAAGCCTGTCTCTATAGCCTGATCATTCATGTCTTAATCTTGAAGGTTTGTTAGGTGAAACTTAAGCATACTAGATGCATCTTCCATGACCTTGAGAAGTTATGAATAACAAACAGCATGTAAAAATAGACTTCCCCTCCCCACCTCTCCTGTCCTCCCCCCTCCCCTCCTCTCCTGTCCTCTCCCCTCCCCTCCTCTCCTGTCCTCTCCTCTCCTTCCCCTCCTGTCCTCTCCCCTCCCCTCCTGTCCTCTCCCCTCCTCTCCTGTCCTCTCCCCTCCTCTCCTTTCCTCTCCCCTCCCCTCCTGTCCTCTCCCCTCCTCTCCTGTCCTCTCCCCTCCCCTCCTCTCCTCTCCCCTCCCCTCCTGTCCTCTCCCCTCCTCTCCTGTCCTCTCCCCTCCCCTCCTCTCCTCTCCCTCCTCTCCTCTCCCCTCCCCTCCTGTCCTCTCCCCTCCTCTCCTGTCCTCTCCCCTCCCGTCCTCTCCTCTCCTCTCCCCTCCTCTCCTCTCCCCTCCTCTCCTCTCCTCTCCCCTCCCCTCCTGTCCTCTCCCCTCCTCTCCTGTCCTCTCCCCTCCCGTCCTCTCCTCTCCCCTCCTCTCCCCTCCCCTCCTCTCCTCTCCTGTCCTCTCCCCTCCCCTCCTCTCCCCTCCTCTCCTCTCCCCTCCTCTCCTCTCCCCTCCTCTCCCCTCCTCTCCTCTCCTCTCCCCTCCTCTCCTCTCCCCTCCTCTCCCCTCCTCTCCTCTCCCCTCCTCTCCTCTTCCCTCCTCTCCTCTCCCCTCCTCTCCTCTCCTTTCCCCTCCTCTCCTCTTCCCTCCTCTCCTCTCCCCTCCTTTTCTCTCCTCTCCTCTCCCCTCCTCTCCCCTCCCCTCCTCTCCTCTCCCCTCCCCTCCCCTCCTCTCCCATCCTCTCCTCTCCCATCCTCTCCTCTCTCCTCCTCTCCCTCTTCTCCTGTCCTCTCCCACTTACCTACCATCTTCTCTTCTCCAGGCTCTTGTACACCCTTGCCAATAGTACTAGACTGTAGTTAGTTCGTGTTTTAACAAATGACAGGCCTAGCCACGGTCTAACTGTCAGGAACCCCTGTCTTGTTTCTAGCACAGTGCCTTCCTTATGATAGCTCAGTGTGAACACTTGAATTCAAGCTACCTTCATCACCCCCTCATGAATTCAAGCTACCTTCATCACCCCCTTGTGACAGGGTGAAGTTTTCTCTTGGCCTCATCTCCTAGTATAAGTTTTGTGTGCCCACGGAGAAGGGAGGCTAAGATGGGAAAATGTGTGGGATGGGGCAGGTGCTGACAGGTGGGCAAGGGTGCTCTGGGTCCTCTCTGCTCTACTGCCCAGGACCTGCTGTCCATGTACCTGGCAATTGTGGGTGGGAAGTGTCCTGCAGAGTTTATAAGTGGGTGTTTCCACTTCTGATAAGCCTTCCAGCATCTGAGGTAGTCATAAGCAAACTTGACTTCTTTATTGTCCCTGCAGAGACACACTGCACGCAGGACGGACCTTCCCCAACCCCTGTGCCACCTAGCCCCTTGCCACCACTTGTGCCCACAAACCCCACTGTGGCTAAGTACAATGTGACTGGTAAAAACGGAACCTGCCTGCTTGCCTCTATGGCGCTACAGCTGAACATCACCTACTTGAAGAAGGACAATAACACGGTAGGAGGAGTGGGGGGTTGGTTTATTTATGAGAGGAATATGGTGATGCAGGTTGTGGTGCAGAATTAGAGGCACTGCTGATCTGAGTCCCATGTTCACTTCTGTCCATCGTTCTGAGTCTTGAGCTGCACTTGTGTGATGGGGCTGTGGCACACCATCTGCCCAGGAAAGCCTTGCTGCTAACTAGCCACCTCACACAAGTGCCTACATCCTAGTGGGAGCATTGTTACACTTCTGAAGTTGTCTGTCCCAACAGGAACAGTATCTGTGGGGATGGGAGAAGGTTGTTGGTTTGAATTTTACAGTGTCTTATTCAACCAGGCCAAGGTTGTATGCACCTGTAGTCTTGGCTGTTCAGAAAGGTAAGCCTGAAGCAGAAGGACCTGTGGAGAATGATAGGAAAAGCACTGGGGTCTGTTTAGTCAGTGCTCTCTAAAGAAATAGAATGTTTATCTGTAAGCCATTTTAGTAAGTCCCTTGTATATATTAGGTACATGTATAATATATATTTATAGTATAGATAGATTTTAGATAGATAGATGAATAGATAAATGGATGGATGGATGTCTTAGAGTGTCTGTTGCTGTGCAGAGACAACCATGACCACAGTCACTCTTGGAAAGCATTTCATTGGGGCTGGTGTACAGTTCAGCGGTTTAGTCCATAATCACCATGGCAGGAAGCGTGGTGGCAGTCAGGCAGACATGGTGCTGGAGAGGTAGCTGAAAGTTCTATGTCTGGATCTGCAGACAGAGGAAAAGACAGCCAGTAGGCCTAGCATGAGCTTCTGAAATCTCAGAGCCCACCCCCAGTGACATAGCTTCTGCAAGGCCACACCTCCTAATAGTGACACTATTTATGGGCCTGTGAGGGGCCATTTTATTTCAGCCATCCCAGTGTGTATGTTATATGATTTCTAAGAATAGGCTTGGTCCTGCTAACCCAACAATGACTGTCTACCAATGAAAGGTCCAAGAATCCAGTAGTTGTGCACCAGGCTGGATGCCTCAGCTCTTCTTCCAGATACAGCAGAATCCCAAAGAGTAGGCTCTAAAGCCAGTGATTGAGTGAACTTGCTAGCAAGAGCAAACAGGCTAAAGCATGAGCTTCCTCCTCCCATGTCCTTTATACAGGCTGCCAGCAGAAGGTCCAGCAGAAGGTGTGACCCAGATTAAAAGTGGGTTTTCCCTGAGAAGGAAGGATTGCAGGAGCCAGAGGAGTCAAGGACACCACAAGAAAAACCACAGAACCAACTAGTCTGGGTTCCTAGTGACTCATAGAGACTGAATGGGCAATGAGGGAGCCCGCATGGGTCTGACCTAGGCCCTCTGCTTATGTTATGGCTATGTAGCTTGGTCTTCTTGTGGGACAGTAGGAGTTGGGGCTGTCTCCGACTCTGCTTGCTTTTAGGACCCTTTTCCTCCCACTGAGATGCCTCATCCAGCCTTAATATGAGCAGACATGCCTAGTCTTACTGCAACTTGATATGTCGTGTTTGGTTGATAACCCTAGGAGACTTGCCCTTTTCTGAAGAGAAATGGTGGAGGAGTGGATGAGAGCCTGGAGCGGGCACTAGGGAGGAGAGGAGAGAGGGGAAACTGGTCAGGAAATAATATATGAGAAAATAATAAATCAAGAAAAAAATTTAGGTGGTTCTTCCCACTTCAAATGATTTAATTAAGAAGAAACTTCTCACAAGTGTACTCAGCTATTTAGGTTTTAGTTATTCCAGGTGTTGTCGAGTCGACACCGAGAATAGTCATCATAGGGTCCAGTCCAAGCCTCTAGTGGAAGGTAGCATTCTGAATAGTCCAGAAATCTCTGGACGGGTGTGGTTAATAGTTCTCCTGGCTTGTTCAAGTGGGTGTTATCACTTCATTAGCCATTGGTGGTCATGTCTGTGGTTTGAGAGGGTCCCCAGAGACTGGATTGATGACTTGTTTGCTTTTCTTGTCAGACTGTGACCAGAGTGTTCAACATCAGCCCAAATGACACATATAATGGGACCTGCGATATCTCTGCGGTGACCCTGAGAGTTGGGAACAACAGCACTCTCCTGCAGTTGAAATTCGGGATGGTAAGGCTCTGTTCTAGTTTGTCAAGTGGGACATGCTCACTAGATTCCTCATGTGTCGCCTTTCTCATGCCCTCGGCATAGGTGGCAGTCAGCAGAAGAGTTCAGTGCTTCCTCGGGAAGGAAGAGGTGGCTCTCTCCTTTCTGCCCACCCTGTGTGATAGGAGTTCTACCTTTCCTTCCTCACTTCTCACCAGCAAATATCCCTGACTTCATCTGCATATATATGGGGAAGACCTATTGTGAGTTAGGTAATGGGGGTGGCTGCAAAGAGCAGTGTGTGAAGCCAGGCTGTGCCACCTGCTCCTCACTGCCATTCTTTCTACTGCTTGTACCATCTCCTGGGAAGAGTCACATTTATAGTTTGCAAAGTCAACGAAAGTTAATGGCTCATGGAGTATCTTTGTTTGTTTCTGTAGTCCTGGGTAATGTATGTGCCCGGAGCCTCCTGTGTGTCTCCCAACTGTGTATCCCAGCCAGCATAAACATTTTAATAAGAGACACAAATGAACTCAATAATTTCTTATAAGAAAGTATGGAGCTGGACCATGGTGTCATATCTCTTTAATACCAGCACTCAGGAGACAGAGGCAAGCAGATCTCTAACTTCCAGGTCAATCTGGTTTACAGAGTAGTCCCAGGACAGCAGGGCAACACAAAGGAATCCTGTCTAGAAAAACAAAGTCTGGAATGGGCTAACCAAAATATATGCTGTTTTTGTGCTGCAAATGTAGTTGTCCTATTAATCAGGTGCCTGGCGGGTGTCTTTTTTTTTTTAGAATGCCACTTCGAGCCTGTTTTTCCTACAAGATGTCCAGTTGAACATGACTCTTCCCGATGCCAAAGGTAAGATTTGCTTCCTCCTTCCTGTGGTTCATGTGCTCCTCGCCCAGTGTAGCCCACGGTCCACGGTTGAGCGGACTCTGTCTCCCATTGCAGATTCCTCATTCTATGCCTCTAACAGTTCACTGAGAGCTCTTCAGGCCACGATCGGGAACTCGTACAAGTGCAACACTGAGGAGCACATCTTCGTCAGCCAGACCTTTTCCCTCAATGTCTTCAGTATTCAGGTCCAGGCTTTCAAAGTTGAAAGTGGCAGGTTTGGGTCTGGTAAGTAATATCCATAGTAACGGTAACAAAAGAAGCGCCTTAGATCTTCTTGTGGGACCAAGATGTCAGGGCGAGAAGCACCCTTTTTCTTCACAGAGTGTTCCCCTCGTCCCCTTGTGAGGAAGGAACTGCAGGCATAGGTATGTGAGGCAAGGGTGTCATGGATGAGGAAAGACAATGAGGAAAGTGACAGTAGTGGCTCTCTCTAAAAGTGGTTTTGAGGGACCTGTGCCTAGGTACAGCACAACTGACCATTGGTCCAGAGTGGTTGGCACCGTTCATTCTAATTTGGGTGGAGCATACCTGGGCTCTCCCAGCTGCACAGAGAATGCTCGTGCCTGCAAATTTCCCAGAGGTAGTAAACTTGTCATCCCTACCCATGCCTCATCCTGTCCCCTCAGGAACAAGAGGGTGGGGAGGGTGGACTCCATAGTGAATACACTGGACTGTCTTTCTTGCAGTGGAAGAGTGTGTGCAGGATGGTAACAACATGCTGATCCCCATTGCTGTGGGCGGTGCCCTGGCAGGGCTGGTCCTCATCGTCCTCATCGCCTACCTCATCGGCAGGAAGAGGAGTCATGCTGGCTACCAGACCATCTAACCTGGTGGGTGGGCGGGTGCACCACAGACGTACAGGGGTCTGTTCTTACGTCCCGAGCTTAGATAGGTGTGGAAGGGAGGCACACTTTCTGGCAAACTGTTTTCAAATCTGCTTTATCAAATGTGAAGTTCATCTTGCAACATTTACTATGCACAAGGAATAACTATTGAAATGACGGTGTTAATTTTGCTAACTGGGTTAAATATTTTGCTAACTGGTTAAATGTTAATGTTACCAAAGTAGAGCTCTAAGGAGAACAAGAAGGTTTTTTGGAATCGCACAGGCTCCCCCATTTGACTTTTTAAGATTTGGTGTTTGGTTTCTTCATTCTTTTACTCGGATTTAGCCTTACAAAGGGAATTTCTGGTCTGAACCCTTGGGCCTGGTGAGGGCGGCTGATGGTTCTGCTGCACACTGCAGATGCCAGAAGGGGCGAGCGGGAAGCCCTGCCGCAGAGGCGTACGCAGGCTCAACCTCTGGACATTCAGTTGGGCTGCTGGCCTGGGGGGCTGGCATCTGGCTGGGCACATTCACCAGTGTTTTGTGCTCTGCCACCCACGCGCTGGCACTTTTCTAAATAGAAAATGGCATTATTTTTATTTACTTTTTGTAAAGTGATTTCCAGTCTTCTGTTGGCATTCAGGGTGGCCCTGTTTCTGCACTGTGTACAATAATAGATTCACACTGCTGACCTGTCCTGCGGCGTAGGTGGGTTGTACACTGAGGACCAGCTCACGTGTAATGCATTGCTGTAACGATGCTAATAAAAAGTCTCCTTCTTTGTCTGGACCTTGTGCCTCTGTGATCCACCAAGAGAGCCCTCTGAGTGATGCTGATAGGGTTTGGGGACTGTGGGGGGAGGGTGAAATTGTGTTGCTCATGTGCTTAGGTTTGGGACAGTGTTGGGATAGCCAGCCTTGTGCTTAGCAACCAGGAGAAAACTAAATGGTGGTTTATTGTTTTGTTAAGGAAATGTTACTGGTCATGGTTCTAGATGCTAGGTGGTTTGTTACTGTTTTGAGGCAGAATTTCATATAGTTGATGGCCTTGAACTTTCTGTTCAATGGTTCTGTTAAAGGGTGCTTTAACTCCTGAGATGAGAAGCATGTGCTGCCATGTCTGCTTTTAGATGAGTCTTAATTAATGATGATGTGGCTGTATAATTACAGTCTCCAGATGAGCCACACCTGTGTCACAAGAACCACATACACATCAGACCTGGGCTGAGCTGAAGAGGCCAGTGCTGCTTCCTTGAAGGTCTGATCTGTCCACCCTCCTTTCTGTCCTCTCAGGCACAGGCTGTCTGGCACAGACCAAGCCATGCCAGACTAAGCAGCTGCAGCCTTCTGCAGTGTCTTCTGCTCACAGGTGGGATTTGTAAGGACTTAGGAAACCTCTCCAATGACCACAGCAGCTGTATTCATTGATGTGAGAGGTCACCATCCTAAAGTGCCCCACCCCATCTTGTGGGCCATCTCCCTCTGGGTGCAGAAGACAGAACAGGAGCCCTGCCATAGAAGCGTCATGTGTCTCTGACTTCAGAAGCCAACAGCAAGCAATACAGACTCCACACTGGCAAGCACTTCCAAGGTTTGCTTGCTGGCCCTATAACTCGAACCTCCTGTCTGGTCACCGAAGGGGTCCTAGACTCCTGCCTTTGGGGAGAGGGAATCTGTACCTCTGGAGATACTCTGTTGGGGTCGCTGGCAGGGCCGGTGCAGGTTTTACCTTTCTGGTCTGAACAGAACAGGAGCAGCTTGAAGTCAGCTGTTAGAAAGGGACTGAGCTGAAGAGAGTTCTGTTCCTTGACTGGGGCAGGCTCTCTACCACTCAGACTGAGCACATGAGTTCTCCCCCAGGTGACTCTAGCAGCACCCTGGGGCCCCAGCACGCTTCCCTCCCAGCTATACCTTGGGGGCGGGGCGTGCATACTGCCTTGTGAAATATCTCTACAGTAGTGTTAGGTACAGCTCTGGGTCTGCCCACTCCCAGAGTTAGTACATCACGCTTTAGAGGATTTGGGGCCATCCAGGTAAGACTACTGGGCAGCTTTGATAAATGATTTGGTGTGAGGGGGTCCCTTTCAGCTGTCATACTGGCTGCAAGACAATGGGCTCAGTGCTTATTTGCAACTAATGGCAGCTGCCATTGGTCAAGACCTGATGATCTAGCTTCATGAACAGCCTGTCCCAGAGGAGATTTCGTCAGTCTGCCAGGCTGTGCTGTGGCTGTGGGACATTAGGGTGGGTGTTTTAGAAGGTCTGAATGGAGGACAGGGACCTCACCAACCTAGCTGTAAGGTCCATTTCTAAAAAGGAAGTATAACCATGTTTAGCAGGTGGGCTGCTCTGCTCCATCTATCCCTCATAGGGCCCTGTCTGTGTAGGCACAGCACGAAAGTATCCTGGGAAGGTGGGGGTGGGCCACACGTGACAGTCACTAACTTCAGGTTGAATGACACTAGGAAACTCACCGCTGACCTCTACTCAACAAAACGGTGTGCTTCCTGTCTCACGTTCCCAACATCTCAAGGGAAATAGATATTTCCAGTGTGTGCGTGTGTCTCAAAAAACAACATACGGTGCCAGGACCCGGGTACGGCCTGGTAGGTGATTGCTGAGCCATCTCACTGGGCCAGATAATTCTAATTCTGACTCCAAAGACAGGCAAAATGTGTAGAGCACATTTTAAATCATTTTCTTTTAAAAGTTCACATTACTAGTGTCAAGACTTCAGGTATTTACAGAGGAACTGCGCGGTCGGAATCGGTAAAGTGTCTGCTGTGGCGGTAGAGTTGCAGCAGCGAAATGGGCGTGGGCCTCAGCCCTGGGTCAGCAGCACAGCCCGGCAGCTCTCACGCAGTCTGCTGATGGTCGTCATGGACAAGCTGCCTGGCTCTGAAAAGATTTTCTGCAAGAAAGGCAAGTGTGTCTTTCCAAACAACCCCTCATGACACATTTTTCACTTTGTGTGGTGTTACTTTAATCCCACCACGTAATGGACAGGCACAGGCAGGTCTCTGAGTTTGAGGCCATCCTGGTCTATAGAGTTGAGTTCTAAGACAGCCCTTGCTACACAGAGAAACCCTGTCTCAAAAAAAAAAAAAAGTTGGCACCTAGCAGGCCGACCAACCTGGCAAGCTTTGACAAGGAGGTGGCCTGGGTGAAGATTCCATTTCCCAGAAGATACGGCAGCACAGTGCCCTGCGCTACCCTAAAGCGGTTACCCCAAGACAGCCACAGTGCTCAGTACACTTAGTTTTCGGTTTCTCCAAATCCCAAGCAACAGTGGCTACTACAATCCTGAGGTCAGTCAACCAAGACTCAGTCCTGGAGTGTCACGCTCAGCTCAGGGTCTGGCTCTGCCACGTGATGAGGAGACCAGAGGAATGGAGACAGTTCTCTGGGAAAGGTAAGGTACGGCCTGGGCATCCCTGCCGCCACATCACATAAAAGCATGTCTGAGTTTGTTCGCTTGGCATCCAAACCGGACTAATGAGATACACAGCGTGAGCCACACTTAGGCTTCTACCCATGAATGGAGATCATTTCTTCCAGGTCTGTGAGGGAAGACCATGTGGGCTCTATCTTGTAGGGGGCACAGGAGAGGTTATTCCAGCTCCTGAGAAAACAATCTAAACCATTCTTCCCAAGAAGCACCATGTAAATGGCTGTGGAAAGATGAGATGTATTGTTCTAGGAGCCAAGCTCAGGGGAGGTGGCAAGGTGCCTTCACCAAGCTGTTTCACTAGGCCAAATAATTCAATTATAACTGCAAAGATAATGATAATAAGAGCTGCAAAACACCATGATTTTAAATCACTCAGGGCACAGGGACAATAAAACACAACTTTCAGTCCCAGTTCTTCATGGAGACAGGAACTGGTGGCAGGCACTACCTGCCTGTAGATATGAAGGATGTCCCCCAGGCACTGTCCAGACACTTGAATCTTGTCATGAGAACACAGATCCTCTGCAGCCTGTGAGCCGCTGGTTCTGGAAAGCCTGGAGTCTGTCTGCTTTTTTATTCTATGTTGCTATTATACTTAAGTTTGGGATGAAGCCCCAACTCCAAGAAGCTCACGGAAGAGCTCTCTCCACCACACCTAGACCTCCCTGGCTTGGCTTCAGCCTCCTAATATGAGGAATGGGAAACAGCTGTGGGCTTGTTTCCCAGGTTCCTACGAGGCCCACCACAGGTTCCCGTCCCTTTACCCACTCGGAACTGCTCACACTTCATCTGAACTACAAAAATTAGAAGCAACCCAGGTATGTATGGGTATCCTTTCTAGAGGTATGTACCCCAGTGGTAAATTCTGGGGGTTTTGTTTTAACTTCTTTGGGCTTTTTTTGAGACAGGGTTTCTCTATGTAGCCCAGGCTGGCCTGGAACTCTGTAGCCCAGGCTGGCCTCTCACATAGATCCTCCGGTCTTGGCCTCCCTAGTGGAGCTCTAGGACTAAAGTTTTGTGGGTTTTTTTGTTTGTTTGTTTTTGTTTTTTTTCAGACAGGGACTCTATTGTAGTTCTGGCTATCCTAGAACTCTATGTGTAGACCAGGCTGGCCTTGAACTCACAAAGATCCTTCTGAGTGCTGGGAATAAAGGCAATGAGTTGCTAACCCCACCCCATCCAACCCCACCCCCGCCCCAGCCTCAAAGGGTGCTTGCCAGGAAGGGGCTTCAAGCATGGTAGAACAGAACATGGAAGGGACCTCTGCAGCGTCCTCAGACTTAGTGCTGGATGTGACGATGCACTTTTAACCCCAGGCTTCAGAAGACAGCCTGATATCTGAAGTTTGAATCTAGTGTTGTCTACATAAGAAGGTCCAAGCCAGCCCTGAGTCAAAACAACAAAAACTTGAAACCTCCGGTTCTGTTTTGCATGGGTTCCTGCCAGGGTCACTCAGCTCCGGGCTCTGCTGGCTTCTCAGTCCTCCAGCCTTGGTTTTGCCCGGTCTCATCCCCACCTCGTCCTTAGCAGTTTCCAGCTGGTCCACACAGCCTGCATTTCCTAGCCTCACAAGTGGCCCTCTGAGGGGCCAAGGATCAGGGCAGGAGGGAAAGCTGGTGGTCAACAGCTGGTGACAAGACTGAGCTAGCTGAAGATGTGAAGGCCTCACTAACATGTCTGCCCTCTCTCCCAGATAACAGAACAAGCTCTCCAGGTGAAGAGCAGTGGCCTCAGACTTGAGATCAGAGAGACTTTTGTAGCCACCTGGGCAGCTCTCAACTCACAGGAACTGATACTCAGCAGAGACACCAGGACACTTGACAGTTGCTGGGTGGGACAGAGAATTGCCCCTCCCTGCACAAGCCGAGCAGCCCAGAACTTACCTGCATGAACGTGTGACACTCAGTCACAAAGTCCCCTTTGGTGATCTGCTTGAACTTGTCACAGATGTCTGGAACACTGCTGGCTTCCAATATAAATTCCTGATGTTGCTTAATTAAGGTCAGAGCAACCCGGAAGATGATCTTGGAGCCTTCGTTGAACAAGCAGTCCCAGATCCGTAGTACCGTCTGTAGAGACAGAGATCCCCAGTCACTCTACAGCAGCCCCCACAGGCCCTGAGGTTGATCAGGGTACTCGCCTCCACAGGCAGGATGTCCACAAACAGGCAGATGAACCAGCGGGATACCAGCAGGGTCCACAGCATACCATGGGCGTCCATCAGGGCTGCCACTGCTGGCAGCTTCATCCTCACCAGCTCTGCCAGGACCTCCTGATCAGTCTTCAGCCCCAGCATTGCTGGGCTGTAGTAATCTGCCACACAGAGGGGACAGAACCGAGACTCAGATCAGCAGGGCCTGGGGGCAGAAGCCTATATTCCCAGGTTCTTGGGAGGCTAAATTCAAGGACTGTTTGAGCTGCAGAGAGTTCAAGGACAGCCTGGATAGTTCATGAGCCCCTGTTTCAAAATGAAAGTTAAGAAGAGGGCTAAGGGTGTAGGCCAGTGGTAGAGCATTGGCGTAGATAGCAAGCTCACGGCTCCTGGGTTTCATCTTCCGTACAGAAAAAGATTCATGACCCATGGGAGGAAATTTTGACATAAGCTCCTCCATGGAGGAGCCTCGAAGGCACCCAGCTTAGTAAGCTAGGTCGGAAAAGACAAGTCCTCAGGACATAGACTCAGGTGAACCACGGTGAGGAACAGGAGTCACAGGTCAGTGGCTCTATGACGTCGTCAGGATAGGTTCAGGCCACAGCAAACAGGTGAGGAACAGGAGGCACAGGTTAATGGGACAGTTTCAGATTCTCAGGGCTGGGATGCAGCTCAGCTGGCACGGCACTTGTCTAGCAGGCAAGAAGCCCTGAGTTTATCCAGTGCTTCATAAAACTAGGTATGGTGGCACACCTGAAATCCTAACACTTGGGACAGTAGCACTTATCTGGATAGTGAGTTTGAGACTAGCCTGGGCTACATGGGGCGGAGGGGGGGAGCAGAGGGATGGGGAAGGAAATGTTAGGGTAAAAATTTTATATTACAACAATAATCAAATTCTCAAATGCTTCCAACAGCATTTCATTCGAAGACACAGGTCTTAACAAAATACTTTTGGGTTTCCTATTTAATTTTTTTTCTTTAAATTACAGTGCTTTATTCAGTGGGCAGGAGGGGCAGGTGGGCTGTCACAGCCATGCAGATGGAGATCAGAGGACCAGCTTCTGGACTCAGCCCCCTCTGTTCAGCAATGTGGTTGCCTAGGAGACAAGTGGCTTTGCCCACTGAGCCATCTCACTGGCCTTCCTACTTAACTTTTTAAAAAACTTGTTTGGGCAATGCCAATGCTTGGTTTATGCTACAAAAGAAATCATTAAGTCTATGACAAGACAGAAAGCCATGGCACACTAACTATACACCAACAGTGTCCTGCTCATGAAGTGAGCCACTGTAGCATGGGATGAAGAGTGCACACTCATTTGACACCAGGGTTGGAACTGACTCTGTTGACATGGGAGTGCAGGGCAGCCTAGCTCAAGGAAGGAGGAAGGAGAAGCTGTCCTCTTCCACACACTTGCCTTGAATCTTCCTCTGGGGGCCTTTCCACCCTTTGTTCTCTGCCTTGTTTTTGCTGGTGACTTATTCTGGGTGTTGCTGGTGACGGCGGGAAGGTTTCTGAGATAGGTTCTCACTCTGAACCCCAGGATGACCTACAATTGGTGATCCCCTTGCCATGACCTCCTAAATGCACGGATTACAAGCTAGGATTACACACCCAGCTGGCTAACCGTTCATCCTGTTGAGCTGGGAGAGGCGTGTTCAGAGACAGCCAGGGCCATCCCCAGGTCTGTCCTCCCAGCAGAGGCAGGGAAGATTTGCAAAGGAGTATTTCATGACCTTGGCCTTGTCTGGAAGCTTAGAGCAGCTTCCAAAAATAGAGCCATTCAAACTCCACGGCCCTGACACGGTCTCCCAGGGGAGGATTACATTAACCCCTTCACCTCCCCACCTTCCTCCCACTCTCCTGTGGTATGACCACACTACACACTGGCCCAGAGTCATGCACAGCCCTAGCTCCAGTGCCTCTCCTAGTCCAGGGACATCCATGCCTTTGTTCAGAGCCCCACACCTAGCTCAGCCACCACATCCTGGCTGCCCCACAAAAGGCAGAGGTCCCCACGTTCTGATAGCAAATCCAGGAAGAGCCACAGAGTGGTGTGGTCTGCAGGTGGCTGACTTTCTAAGACTTTTCATTCCGCATGTTTCCATATGCAGTTGTATGCATTCTGGGTCACACATGCTGAGACTCCACCAGTTTGCTACCAATCACAGATAGGACATGTCAAAAGGACTTATCACTAGTTCCAGTTTGCAGGCTGGCAGAGAGGCTCTGCTGGGAATGGGGGAATCGCCACCTTCTATTAGGAACCACTAGGGAGCCGGGCGGTGGTGGCGCACGCCTTTAATCCCAGCACTCACGAGGCAGAAGCAGGCGGATCTCTGGGAGTTCGAGGCCAGCCTGGTCTACAAGAGCTAGTTCTGGGACAGGCACCAAAGCTAACAGTGAAACCCTGTCTCAAAAAACCAAAAAAAAAAAAAAAAAAAGGAACCACTAGCGAGGCCAGCTTGGCCCTGCAAGCAGCCTAAATGAGAAGAAGGAGCTGGGTGGTGGGGTGGTGGTGCACGCCTGTAGTCCCAGTACTCAACAGAAGCAGGCAGAGCTCTGTGAGTTCGAGGTCAGCCTGATCTACAAAGTGAGTTCCAGGATAGAAAAAAAAAAACTGTATAAAAAACAAACAAACAAAAAAGGTGAAAGCTCAAGTCTAGAGTCCAGGGCAGACCCAGAGTCCAGGGCAGACCCAGGCAGAATCCTTGGGTCTGGGCCATATCAGGGTCTACAGAACAAAGGGATGGCATGGGCCACTGTGCTGGAACCCCTCACTGTGGACAGGCTGGGAGTTTGGAGACAGCTGTGCACAGCAGAGAACAACTCCTCATACAATGAAGAAGGCCCCAAAGCTATCATTGTATAAGCCTACGAAACAGTACCTCACACATACACACACACACACTGCACACCCAGGCCTCGCAGGTAGATCTTCATAGCTCGGTCATCTCTCAGTGAGGGCCCAGGTCCGGAGGTTCAGCCTTGGAGACCAGTGCCTTCCCCTTGCTGTGCCCTGGGGTTACCACTCTGTGGCTCTGTGCCCCGCTCACAGATCCTCACCCCAGCTCTACCTACCTGCACACAGCCACATCCCTAGTTAAAGGACATCCTAAGGATCGCTCTCACATCTTAGGCAAAGAGCAGAGACAGAGGAATCTAATCTTCAGGATAAAGCGTTCCTTCATTTGTCCTAAACCCTAGCCATAGCATAAGTCCAACTCAACACACAGGGGCCCCAACCTACAGAATGTCCCTGTGTGCTTCTAGTCTAAATCCCACAGAGTCTCCTTTACCTCAAGGGTGTCGAAACAAGACATTCTGGGAGAGGCTGTCTTCCCTAGCAGGTCTCACAGTGCGCTCCTGTTGGTGCCTAACTCACAAGTCATCACAGGCGTGTGCCCCCCAGGAAAGAACGGCACACCAAGGCTCAGCGTCCAGGAGCCCGTGTCTTGGGGTGCACCCTGGAGTCTGAAGTGGTACTGAATTATCTCCCACACCCTCTCCTGGCCTTTCAGATAAGAATTCCCCAGATGTCTCAGGCTGTCCTTGAACTCCTGACCCTCTGATGACCATTCCCAGCATACACCGCTCTTCTGAACGGATGAGAAATGCAACTATGGGTCTGAAGGTTGAGAACTTGGGAACGTAACTGGTGAGCATGAACAACGAAAGTAAATAGACTTTAAAAGTCGTCAAAATGGGAAGCTGGGGGTGGAGCAATGCTCCCCCTGCAGTGGGAAGCTGGGGGTGGAGCAATGCCCCCCCTGCAGTGGGAAGCTGGGGGTGGAGCAATGCAGCCCCTGCAATGGGAAGCTGGGGGTGGAGCAATGCAGCCCCTGCAGTGGGAAGCTGGGGTGGAGTACATGCAGCCCCTGCAGTGGGAAGCTGAGGGTGGAGCAATGCCCCCCCTGCAGTGGGAAGCTGGGGTGGAGTACATGCAGCCCCTGCAGTAGGAAGCTGGGGGTGGAGTGCATGCAACCCCTGCATTGGGAAGCATGCAGCTCCTATAGTGGGAAAATTGCAGCCCCTGCACTGGGAAGCTGTGCGCAAGGTTCCTCATGAGCCCAGGAGGTCCAGGCTGCTTGGATGAACAGCGGCTTTGCCTCATAAGGAAGATGCCAAGGAAATGGCTCAGACGGTAGAGTGCTTATCTAGTGGGTTCTATTCTCAGCACCCCATGGCGAGTGTGATTATGCTTGACTCTCTTCTCAGCACTGAATGTGAGAGGAGGGTCAGAGGCTCGAGATAGGCCGGGCGGTGGCGGTGCACACCTTTAATCCCAGCACTCGGGAGGCGGAGGCAGCCGGGTCACTGAGTTCGAGGCCAGCCTGGTCTACAAGAGCTAGTTCCGTTCCAGGACAGGCTCCAAAGCTACAGAGAAACCCTATCTCGGGGGGGGGGGGGGGAGAAAAAGAGAAAAAGGATTCCCATGTTCTGGGACACTAGGGTGAGAAGAGATAAACAGACAGGAAAAGCAAAGTCCCTAGTCTGAAGCCAGGCGTGATAGTACACACCTGGGTATCTTGAAGTTCGAGGCCAGCCTGGTCTATATAGCAAGTTCCAAGACAGTCAGGGGTATATAGTGAAACCCTGTCTCAAAACAAAACAGTCCTCAGGCAACTTCTGCTTAGCTGCTGACTGACAGGTGCAACTCCAGGGAGGAAGACAGATGAGGGGAGGGGTGGGGCTAGACCCAGCCTCAATCAATGGCTCAGAGAAGGGACCGGGACAGCCCTGGGCTAGTCAGGTGGCCTGGGAGTCACTCAATCTCTCACATCCCCAATTTATAGCATAAATAGCATCTCCAACAGGCTTCCCGCAGACCGGGACCACGTGCCCCAGAAGGGACAGAGGATACCTGACAACTACAGGAGCTTGCCTCTCCTTGCTCCACGTCCCTCCTTCCTTCCTTCCTCCCTCCTTCCCTCCCTCCCTCCAAGCTGGATTTCTGTAGCCACAATCCCGATACTAACCGCGTCACCTATAAGGACCACACACACTTCCTCAGTACTACAAGCGACCTCACTCATGGCATCTTTAACTAAAACTCCTGGCATGGGCTTTTTATGGGCTGTTTTTTTTTTTTTTTCTTTCTTGAGATGGGGACTCCTGTGTTGCCTTGGATGAACTGGAACTTGCTATACAGACCAGGTTGAACTCAAAACTCAAAAAGAGCCTGCCTCTGCCTCCTGAGTGATGGGATTAAAGGCTGTGCCTCCATGCCCGGCCTCCCCATCTTACTTAGGGTTTCTACTGCTGTGATAAAACACCATGGCCAAAAGCAAGGTGGAGAGAAAAGGGTTTATCTGGCTATAGTTCTATATCACAGTCCATCATGAAGGACCTCAAGCAGGGCAGGAACCTGGAGGCAGGAGCTGATGCAGAGGCCATGGAGGGGAGCTGCTTACTGGCTCGCTCCTCATGGCTTGCTCACCCTGATTTCCCAGGGATGGCACCACCCACAGTGAGGTAGGCCTACCCCATCAATCACCAGTCAAGAAAATGTGCCACACGCTTGCCTATAGGCCAGTCTGGTGAGGGCATTTCCCCTGCCGAGGTTCCCCTTCCCAATGACTCTAGCTTGTGGGAAGCTAACACTGAACCAGCCAGCTTGCATCCCTACCCCTGTGGACTAACAGCAGGAGGAAAGGGAACTATTTTCTCTCTGGTGGGGCCCTGTCCACCAGCACAGCCCTACCACACGCCTCAGCAAGGACACATACTACATACAGTCCTCAGAACCCAGTCCTGGTACCTCAGAAACTAGGCTCAGAAAAAACAGCAGTGGATCGGCCTTGAGCTGACACATTCCCTAGGCCTCTGGTTTCCTCATCTGGGAAATGGGCCTGACCAATATGAACACACAACTTAGGTAGAAGCGAAGGCTGTGTTTGAAGTTTAGCAGGGACCCAGGAACTAGGAAAACATCCCAGGCTCAAGGCCACACACCCTCACTTCTGAGGGGCCAAGCACAGGACTGAACAGGCAGGAAATCTCTCTGTTCCAAGTCACCTACCTCAGGACAGCACTGATTCTTCCTGGTGACCCTCACCGCAGCCTGTGGCGACTTGATTACACTGAATTTACTACACCTGGTGACTGTTCTCTGTTAACAGACGGCAGGTCGGCAGCCTGAAAAGGACGAGCGACTCCCAGCTTTGAAAGCAGCAACATCTGTCCACAGTGTGCTTCCTCACAAACTCAGTACCACATCTGTCCACAGTGTGCTTCCTCACAAACTCAGTACTGCATCTGTCCACAGTGTGCTTCCTCACAAACTCAGTACCGCATCTGTCCACAGTGTGCTTCCTCACAAACTCAGTACATCTGTCCACAGTGTACTTCCTCACAAACTCAGTACCGCATCTGTCCACAGTGTGCTTCCTCACAAACTCAGTACATCTGTCCACAGTGTGCTTCCTCACAAACTCAGTACATCTGTCCACAGTGTGCTTCCTCACAAACTCAGTACATCTGTCCACAGTGTGCTTCCTCACAAACTCAGTACATCTGTCCACAGTGTGCTTCCTCACAAACTCAGTACATCTGTCCACAGTGTGCTTCCTCACAAACTCAGTACATCTGTCCACAGTGTGCTTCCTCACAAACTCAGTACCGCATCTGTCCACAGTGTGCTTCCTCACAAACTCAGTACATCTGTCCACAGTGTGCTTCCTCACAAACTCAGTACCGCATCTGTCCACAGTGTGCTTCCTCACAAACTCAGTACCGCATCTGTCCACAGTGTGCTTCCTCACAAACTCAGTACCACATCTGTCCACAGTGTGCTTCCTCACAAACTCAGTACAACATCTGAGCTGTGTGGCTCATGTGTGATCAATTCAACTACATGAAGGCCCCCACACACACACGTACACACACACACACACACACACCACAAGGAAGGGGCCATGGAGAACACCTGCCCAAAGGCAAGCCCACCCCCTCAGCAGAGACCACAGAACTCAAATCTTAACTTCGCTTCCACAAACCAACTATGTTTTCAATAGATTTCTCCCCTCTCCTCCCTCTCTCCAGTGATAGGGATTAAATAAACCCAAGACCTTCCTTCACAAAAGCCAAGAAGTGCTCCATCCCTGAGTTAACCCAGCCATTTCCCTCCATCCTGACGGCCCAGCCATCAGGATGTCGAAGGCATCAGAAGCCGGGCGGAGTGAGGGCAAGGACGGGGCAGGACAAAGAGAACTTTCAACCCACCAGGTAGTATTCTTCCAACAAGAGCGTCCAGGAGCCAGAAGGATTCCTCTTCGTTCTTGGTGATAAGGATCAAATATCCTGCTATGAAATTCATTCCCTGAAATCAGAATGAGACACAAACCTCACCTGAGTGCTGGACAGACAGAGTGCAGTATTTCAGCTCATGGTAGGTTCCTATTCCTGTGCCCTTCCTGGAAACTCGGGGCGCTCTAGAGCAGGGGTTCTCAACTTTCCGAACGCCGCCGTCACCGAACATTCGGTGACCCCAGCCATACAACTATTTCCGTTGCTGCTTCAAAACTCTAAACTGTAAATCTCTGATATGCAGGGTGTCTGATATGCGACCCCCAAAGGGGTGGAGACCCACAGCTTGAGAACCACTGCTCTGGACCCACCTTTGCGTGGCACAGTAGAGGCCCAAGGCTAACTGTCTGTACTGTCCAGCCATTCAACATGAAAGAGGGAACTCAACCTGAAGAACACTGATTGCCACCCAGAATAGAAAACTGAAGGCTTTCTCTTCCGACTGCTGGCTTGTGGCACAGTCGGTGGGGATCAGTCTGACCAGTACAGAGCTCTGGCAATCCGCTAGTGACTGTGTTTGGGACAGTAGCTATACTGGCATTTCATCTGTATTTTAATAAATAAAGCTTACTTGAGGATCAGAAAAGTAAAACAGCCACACTGGCTGGCCTTACAGACCAGGCAGTGGTGACACACACCTTTAATCCCAGCAGCCACACTAGTTGCCACAGAAACCAGGTGGTAGTGGTGCATGCCCTTAATCCCAGCCCTAGAGAGGAATATAAAACAGGAGGAGACAGCTTTCCGACAGTCTCATTCTGAGATTCCTGGAGGCAGGATTCCCATTTTGGACTGAGGTTGAGGTAAGAGCCAGTGGCTGGCTGTTTTGCTTTGCTGACCTTCAGGCTGAACCCCAATTTCTGTCTCTGAGTTTTTATTAATCGTGTTTCAATCAGCAAAGATCAGCCAGGCCTGGTGACTTAGTCCTATGATCCCAGTGTTTTAGGAAGTTTAGGTAGGAGAACCAGGAGTTCAAGGCAGCCTAGAGACTCTGATTCAAAATAAGAAAGTGAAAAGAGGGGGCTGGAGAGATGGCTCAGAGGTTAAGAGCACCGACTGTTCTTCCAGAGGTCCAGAGTTCAATTCCCAGCACCCACAAGGTGGCTCACAACCGTCTATAATGAGATTTGCTCCCCTGTCTGACATGCAGGCAAAATGTTGCATACATAATAAATAATAAATCTTAAATAGAAGTGAAAAGAGGCCCCAGGAATAGCTCAAGAGTAAGGCACCCGCTTCACATGATCAATCCTCAGCTCCCACAAAAGGCAAGCAACAAGAAGTCCTGACTGAAGGGGTGGGACAGTGAGGACTCCCCGCAAAGGGCAGGAGCTCCAAGTACTGGCACAAAGCCAGGCAGAGGTCATGGCCCTCGAAGCTCATGATGGGGACCTAGCAATGTGTGCTCCTGTTACCTCTGAGAGAATAAACCCTTGCATAATTTCTGTCTTCCTCCCTTTTGTTCTGTCTATACTTCTAAAAGATACACTTACCAGGAGCCAACTGCCACTGCCGGGCACCCAGCCTCTAATACCTCAGAATGTCCTCCACACACGAGGCCCAGGGCCTAGGGAGGCGGCCCTGGTAAATTGTTAGCTCCACAACTGAATGCGGATCTCCAGCGCCCCCGTGAAAAGGCAGACACTGCTGCTGATCTCTTTCCTTCCTTCCTTCCTTCCTTCCTTCCTTCCTTCCTTTCCCTCCCTTCCTCCCTCCCTCCCTGTTTGTTTTTGAGACAGGGGATGTAGCTTTGGAGCCTGTCCTGGAAGTCGCTCTGTAGACCAGGATGGACTCGAATTCACAGAGATCCGCCTGCCTCTGCCTCCTGAGTGCTGGGATTAGAGGCATGCGCCACCACCACCCGGGTAACAGAGAACTTTTCAATCATGAAAAAGATATGCCCAGCAATGAAAAAAGTAAAGAAGGAAAAGTGTACAGACCAAGGCACCATAACAGCCCAGAGGCCGGGAACGGCTCTGTGTCCCTGGGTCATGAGAGTGACAGCAACTGGGAAGATGCCAGTAAGGTATTGGCGCTCACACGGAAGCACCTGTGGAAGTCAGCACAGCTTCATCAAAGCAAATGCAAAGCCATTTGCTAGCACTTTATGACTCCCCATGTCATGGGCAGGACTGTGTCCCCATAGAGAGTGTCACTACTAGGAGGTGTGGCTTTGTTGGAGTAGCTATGAACTTGGAGGAGGAAATGTGTCACTGTCAGGGTGGGCTTTGAGGTCTCCTATGCTCAAGCTGTGCCCAGGGCCTCAGTTTACTTCCTGTTGCCTGTGGATCAAGATATAGATCACTTGCCTCCTTCTCCAGCACCATGTTTGCCTGCATGCCGCCATGTCCACCATGAGGATAATGAACTCCAAAACTATAAGCCAGTCCCAATTAAATGTTTTCCTTTATAAGGGTTCCTGTGGTCATGGTGTCTCTTAACAGCAATAGAAACCTAAGACAGTCCCCAAAGGCAGAAGTCTTCTGTCTTGGAGTATGGCTTCACTTGGAGACAGGTCTGTGCAGATTTTCTAGCTAAAATGAGGTTCCCTAGGAATAGAGACCTTCAGCTAGATGATGTGGCCTTACAAAAAGGGAGATGGAGACACTGATGACAAGCAGGGCAAATATGGAAACAACAATCCCAGAAGTCTCAGATTCTTGGGTGGAGCCTGGACAGGAAGTAGGAAACAGCTGCAGAGGAGGCAGCCCTGACTGTCATCCAGCCCACACCTGGGTCATTCTTGGTTTAGCCAGTTTGCAAGGACATAGTTCCAGCACACTCCCAACCAATCAGGAAACTGCTCCCCAGCTGGCAATCCGAACAAGACCAAAATCTACAGGTAGGATCTATTACACCAGGCTTCCAGAAGCAACTGCGAGAGATTGGCTCTGCATCACACGGTGGCCACACCCACAGAATGTCTGCACAGTGCACCTCAGACCCCAGCCTCCTTTTCATTCTGTGCCTCTCAATGTCACTCCCATTGTTCCCAGCTTCCACCCTCACCTTATTCACTATGTGACAGCTCAAAGTCATCCGGCAGGTGTCCCCTGCTTTTCCAGCAGGGACATACAGAAAGCTAGGCCAACTTTGAGACAGGCATCCCAACCCAGAGCCCATGACTCAGGAATAATGTTTGTGTAGTCATTTAAAAAGCACCGCGCAAGAGAAAGACGCCACGCAACACAGTTCACGTGGAGGGGTCTTTATTGGGGAAAGGAAACGGAAAAAGAGGGAAGGGGAGGGGGGAGACCAGACTCTGGGGACAGGAGCAGCAGAAGAGAGAGGCAGAGAGAGAGAGAGAGAGAGAGAGAGAGAGAGAAGAAGGAGGAGGAGGAGGAGGAGGAGGAGGAGGAGGAGGAGGAGGAGGGAGGGAGGAGAGGCAGGCAGAGAAGAAGAGAGAGAAAAGGACAAGCAGAGAGAAATGGAGAGAGAAAGAGCGAGCTGGGAGGTGCGCAAGGCCCACCTTTTAAAAGGGAACGTAGCAAATGTGCACAGGAGGCGCCCTTAGTGGCTGCAGCAGAGGACGCATCCTGTAAGGACCCTAAGGGCGGGCTAGTGCAGATGCCTGAGTACTAACCGTTTGTACCTGCAGAATGTCACTGCTATGGACCTATGGGGTATCGAATGACACCCCCCAACACATGCCAGCTCTGTCTGGGGGCTCACCTGGCAGTACCCCACACCTTGGTTGTGTAGCCCATACGCCAGCAGCACGTTGTACAAGGTCTTCTGCAGACAAGGCTCCGCCGTCTTCCGGAACCTCACGTTGTCAGGGAATGTCCGGTTCAGGTCTACACAGAAACGCACCAGCGTCACCGTCAACCTCTCTGCGGCTGCCAAGGAGGCCAGACTCTGTCTCGGATCTGAGCAGTGGCACCACCCTGGCTGCACCCGAGTCAACTACCACCTCAGGCGTTCTGCACACAAGATCCTTAGCCCAGGAGATGGTACAGGTACCAGGAAGGAGGGCAGGGATGGGCCCTAGTGCTCTTTCCGAATCAGGAATGGCAGGTAGCTGCCTGGACCCACGGTCTCCACGGGACACTCCAATTACTGTCAGCATGGGGAAAAGGCCTCCAGAGTCAAAGATCAAATATATAAGACTAGGGTTGGGCATGGAGCACACCCCTCTCTGGTACTTTAATCCCAGTACTCTGGAGAGAAGAAAGCAGGTTTCTGTGAGTTCAAGGACAGCCTGCTCTACCTAGGGGCTTGCAGGTCAGTCAGGGCTACGTAATGAAAATCAGTCTTAACAAACAACACAAGGCTAGACGTGGTGGCTCACACCTGTAACCCAGGAGGCCAAGGAAGGATGATTGCAGAGTTGGGGCTAGCCTGGACTACAAAGTGAGCTGCAGTTTCAAAAGAACTGAAACAAAAACCCGCCCAGAAGCAGGAAGGAGAACAGGCCAAGACTCCCTCCAGAGATAAGGTGATAACCAGGAATTAAATAAACTCCGCTGCTGGGCTTTGTGCAGATGCTTCTCCACCCTGCTCCGCCCCACCCCTTCCTGCTGCCACAGCCTTTCACCCTCCCTAACCTCCCAGGCCCAAAACACCTCCCCTGGAACCATAAACATTCCCTGACGCAGAACGGCCACAGGAAGAGCAGGGCCTAGCCACTTGAGACTAGTGGTGCAGGCTGCATTCACCCTATATGGCACCCCTGGCTGTGATATTTTCGCCACACGGCAGTGTCTTTCTGTGACACAGGTAAAGCTGAGTATAGACAAGGCTCAGTGCCCTGTTTGTGCAGCACCAAAGTGATTCTGTGGACACAGAAAGTCCACCGTGTGGTTCTTTATTTATCCAGATGGTCCAGCGTAAACCGGGGCTAGGGATGGGGTGCAGCTGATAGGTGCCTGTCCTCATGGAGAAAGCCCTGGTTTGATTCCCAGCACCACATACACCAGCTGTGGTAGCATACACCTGTAATCCCAGCACTCAGAAGGCAGTCAGGTCATCCGTGGTTACATACAGAGTTCCAGGCCAGTCCGGAAGACCATCCTGTCTAAAAGACAAAGGTGCCTGCTACCAAGCTTGAGGACCTGAGGTCTAGCCTTGGTACCCACATGATGGGAGGAGAACCAATTCCTGCGAGTTGTTCTTTAACCTCCATATATCCATGTGAGCATGCATGCATGCGCACGCACACACATGCTAAATAATAAATGTAATAAAAAAATTAAAACAAGCCAGGTATGGTGGCTAAATATCTTCAGTCACAGCTGTTGGGAGGTAGAGCCATGCAGATTGTTAGCTGAGGCCAGCCTGGTCTACATGGCAAGTTCTAGGCCAGCCCCAGGACTACACAGTGAGGCCCTGTTTCAAAAAAAATAATTTAAAAATGGCTACGTGATGGAGCTTGCACGTGTCCCACAGGATCGACAGTAAGAGACAAAAGCAGAACTGACACCTGCCAGAGCTGTAATGTTGTGGGAGAGCCATTTCCTACACTGTGAGGCATCTCTGCAAAGGCACCTTCTGATTGGCTTAACAAAGAGCTGAATGGCCAATAGCTAGGCAGGAGAAGACAGGCGGGACTTGTGGAGAGAGAGAGGAACTGAGGAGGAGGGTTTGAGAGGTGAGGAATTCACCAGACACAGAGGAAGTGGACCGCATGATACTGAACAGAGGTAATGAACCACACTATATAAACATGGATTAATATAAACATAGATAATATAAATTTAAGTTGTAAGAGCTAGCTGGGAACAAGCTAAAGCCAAGCTTTCATAATTAGTAACAAGTCTCTGCGTCAATATTTGGAAGTTGGAGGTGCAAAGAAAATCTTACCATAAAAGATGTTAGTGTTTACAGGGGACAGTTTCAATTTGGGGAATAGAATGTGAACGATGATATGCATATTTTCCTACAATAATTATTTTCCTAAAATGCACTAAACAGAACCTTAAACTCATTTTCCAGATAAACAGCAATAGTCTACTATTATCTAAAATACACAAGGCTACCTGAGGACCTGTGCTTCTCAGCCTGAGTCAGCACCATAGCTCACTGAGAACCTCGGGCAGAGCTGTGTTCTGAGACCTCTGGCTGGGTTCCACAGCCCCCACAGACTGCCTCAGCCTCCCACAGACTACCTCAGCCCCCACAGACTGCCTCAGCCCCCACAGACTGCCTCAGCCCCCACAGACTACCTCAGCCCCCAGACTACCTCAGCCCCCCACAGACTGCCTCAGCCCCCACAGACTGCCTCAGCCCCCACAGACTGCCTCAGTTCCCACAGACTGCCTCAGCCCCCACAGACTGCCTCAGCCCCCAGACTGCCTCAGCCCCCACAGACTGCCTCAGTTCCCACAGACTGCCTCAGCCCCCACAGACTGCCTCAGTTCCCACAGACTACCTCAGCCCCCACAGACTACCTCAGCCCCCAGACTGCCTCAGTTCCCACAGACTGCCTCAGTTCCCACAGACTGCCTCAGTTCCCACAGACTGCCTCATCCCCCACAGACTGCCTCAGCCCCCACAGACTGCCTCAGCCCCCAGACTACCTCAGCCCCCCACAGACTACCTCAGCCCCCACAGACTGCCTGCCCCCCCCCACGGCCTCAGGGCCCCATACTCCCTCGGCCCCCACAGGCCCTGGCCATGTGAGCAGAGACTCAGAGGCAGTGGGAGCCGCAGAACAGCCCTTGCCCATGGCAGGAACAAGCTGTCCCCTCGGCTTCTGTGCTCTGTTAGGTAACAGAAAAACTCCAGCACACTGTGTTCACGCTGGTATTGTTCACTGGCGTTTGCCCTTTGGAGATGCAGCTGTGGTTCCTAAATATTAATCTCACAATACTCAGTGTATGCTGACTGCAGAGCTTTTGGGGGTGGTAGGGTTTGTTGTTGTTCCATCTTTGTTTTGAGACAGGGTCCCTCTCAGTGGCCCTGGTTGTCCTAGAATTTGCTATGCAGACCAGTCTGGCCTCGAACTCAGAGATCCTCCTGCCTCACCTCCTGAGTCAGCTGGAACTAATGGTGTGAGCCACCCTGCCTGGCAACTAGCTTTCTGAGAGCCAGCAAAGTCCTGTCACTGGGGTCCTAGAGGACAGGGAAGAAGAGCACAGAGAGCACCCAGGTCAGTCATAAAGGCCATCTGACACCAGGGTACAGGGAGCACCCTTCACAGTGACGCCAACACAACCGAGACCACTGCTGCTTAGCGCCACAGTGCTGCCTGCTGCTGGGGCTCCTAAACCCCCCCCAGAGGAAATTCCATCTGTGCACTCATTGGCTCACAAGCTGGTAGTCCCATAAACGTCTGCTGTTCCCCTTGTGAACACCTTAGTCTTGATTTCTGCCCCAAACACAGCATCCGCAGGCTTCCTTATTGCCCTCCCCATCCGAGCTACACGGGCCCAGGGCACTGAGCGCAGGCTTCCCACCTGTCCGGATGGCTTCCTCCAGGCTGGGGCTGCCCTCTCCCTCCAGCAGTCGGTGGTAGTATCCAGGGTTCTGGTCCATCTGGGCCTGGGCTCCACTCACAGCCATCCAGACACGGGCCCGGTGCTCCAGTGGGATTCCCTTCCGGACATAGCGCTTCACTGAAACCCAGAGAGACCGAGGTGAGCTCGGAGCCCAGGGGATTGGAAGGACACCCCAGTCTTCCTCCTTCACCCAAACACTTGTCTTCCTAAACCGCTCCAGAAAAGACCTGAAGCTTATTAACTTTGTCAAAATAGAAGTTCCCAAGACCTGTGAAATGAAGCACACCATGTATCTACACTAACGGTTCACTTCTAATGCAGCCACTGGCCAGAGAGAAGACAGGCTAGGGTTACACGCTCATCACCCACCACACTGAGTAGACCCAGTACATCAAAGAGTTTATCTGGGGTGTAGCTCAGTGGAATAGCATGTGTTTAGCATGTACAAGGCTCAGAACCCAAAGAGACGAAACAAAGTTTAAAAATGCCTCAGCTGGGGAGGTAGGTAGAGGTGTGGGTTCTCTGTGAACAGTGGAGCTTCAGGTAGAGAGGCAAGGGCCCAGGGACTTAAGGGATACAGTTCTCAAGGATCCTGGTCCTAACCTGGCCAGGTCTAGCAGTCACCCAGCACATGGCTATGTGGCCAGAAGCCAGTGGGAGCTAAAGAGGACCATTCTGCACGAGAATCAGCTCACGAGCCCATGAGCCCAGAGGGACCACAGCTTCAGCACAGGGAGAACCTTGGTTGGAATATAAAATGAATTAAAAAATAAATTAATGTAAAAAAAAAAGCAACTACTGGAATTCTACAGGCCACCATGAAAAAGAAAAAACCTGGGGTCAGAATACTGCTTAATGATATAGCATTTGCTTAGCATAGATGGGGTCCTAGGTTCAATTCCAAACACTACAAAAAAAGAAAGAAAGGTAGAAAGAGAGAAAGAAAGAAAGAAAAGAAACGAAAAGAAAGAAAAATAGAAAAGACCCGAGGCAGCAGTTCTGTCCAACAGATTAAATCATTAAAAACAAAACAACTTCATGTGGGCTGGAACCTGCAGCGAATGCTTGGTGAAGTTTAGTGCCTGAATCCATATAAACCCATGGAAAGGTGGAAGGAGAAGGAGAGAATTGACTCCATAGTGTTGTCCTCTAACCTACACACACACACCCCACATAGTGATTCTAATGCTGACTATAAACTCACAGTAACAAAAGTAATATGGTACTGGTGAAGGGTGAGGTCAGTGGATTCATGGCACACAATAAAGAACGTCAGAAACAGCCATCCAGAGAGCTGACTCAGCAGCTAAGAGCACTTGTTGCTCTTCCAGAGGATCTGGGTTCAATTATCAGCACCCACATACATGCAGGCAAAATACCCACAATCATAAAAAAAAATGTTTTTAAGAAAGCAATACAGAAAAACAGGCTCACACAAAGAAAGCCAATTGCTTCTTAACCAAAGTAGCAAAGGAAATTCAATGCAAAAAGAATAGTCTGTCCAATAAAGAATGGTTGAAAATAAATAAATAAATAAATAAATAAATAAATAAGCCAACAACGTAAAATTTGCATTCACCGGAGCTCCCAGGCATGGTGGAAATGCAAAAATGCACAGGCACTTTGCAAAACACTTGCAATTTCTTTTCTGGCTTCCCTCTCCCATCTCCTTTTGATTCTGGGATCAGAAGGGCCTTACCTATGCTAGACAATGCAATATCTTACTAGTTAAGATATACAATCTAGCAATCCCACTACGTGTTTACCTAAGAAAACCTACATTCACACACAGAAGCCTGCGAGCGCTTTTGCCAATGGATTTCATGCCCAGTGTCAATTAATGAGCAAACAGGTTGGGAAACACCTCAGCCATAGAAGAAACGAGCCAGTGATATATATGAGACCTTAGATGAGCCGCTAGAGCAGTGGTTCTCAACCTGTGGGTCACAGCCCCCACAAAGGTAGCATATCAGACATTAGGATCCGCAACACCAGCCAAATTACAGTTATGAAATAGCAATGATATTATTTTATGGCTGGGGGTCATCACAGCATGAGGAACTGTATTAAAGGGCCGCAGCGTTAGGAAGGTTGAGATCTAGAGGCCAGAGCAATATCAAAACCAGACTCAATGCTGCAGCCTTGGCAAACAGTTAGTTACACGGCATCCTGGGAAGGCTGACTCAGAAATGATTGACAAGGAGTGGCCCGTAGAATTCGGAAGGCGATGAAACTTAATTTTTCATGTGTATAGGAGGGTACACCTGAGTGCAGGTACACACGAGGGTACTGGATCCCCGGGAGCTGAAGTTCTACAGTTTGAAGAGCTTGACATGGATGCTGGAAACCAAACTCAGGTTCTCTGTGAGAGCAAGACGCACTCTCAGCCGCTGAGCTTCTCTAGCCAACCCCCACCTTGGCAACTCACCTCCATTTTTGGAGATAGACCTCACTCCGTAGCTCTGGCTAGCCTAGAACTCTGTGTAGAACGCTATGTAGACCAGGTTGGCCTCAACCTTATAGCAATGCTCCTGCCTCTGCCTCTGCCTCCAAGAACTAAGATTAATGTCACTCTGGCTCTGGTTTGAATTTAGTAATGTAAGTTTTGTGTTGTTTGTTTAACTTTAAACAAAAGACAAAATAGTCCCACACATCGACTCTGGCATCTGGACACCTGCTCCGCTCTGGATTCCTAGCTCCACACCTCAGTTTCCTTATCTGTGGCGTAGAAACAGCACGGAGCCCGCCTGCTGCAGTCATAGAGCTGGGATGCCCTGCTGGCCCAGAGGCCAAGTCTCTACGCACACTTTTTTTTTTTTGGGGGGGGGGGGTGGTAGGTTTCAACAGGGTTTCTCGCCGGGCGGTGGTGGCACACACCTTTAATCCCAGCACTTGGGAGGCAGAGGCAGGCGGATCTCTGTGAGTTGGCGGTCAGCCTGGTCTACAAGAGCTAGTTCCAGCACAGGCTCCAAAACCACAGAGAAACCCTGTCTCGAAAAACCAAAAAAAAAAGGGGGGGGGGGTTTCTCTGTGTAACAGCACTAATTGTCCTGTAACTCACTCTGTAGACCAGGTTGGCCTGGAACTCTCAGAGATCCGCCTGCCTCTGCTTCCCCTGGGGTTAAAGGCGTGTGCCACCACCACCCATTTGTTTGTTTGTTAGTTGGTTTGGTTCCTCCCCCATATACATGCGCTTTTACCTCATGTAAACTTTTTTTCTTCAAAAGGATGAATTTAGCTTTCTTGCCCTCACAGACTGAGCTCCTTCTGAGGGCAGGGTTCTCCAACAGGTGGCCACTAAACCCTGCAGAGAACCCCCGAGAGCTAGCTTCCACCTCCACCTCTCTGCCCCAACCAAATCAAGCAAAAGCCAGGTTTGGGGCATTTGGCCCTGAACGTGCTCCCACAATACACCGGGAATTCAGGTGTGTGACACTAAAGCCACCAAGGAGTAAATGGCCACTGCTTTCCCTCTGCACCAAGTAGGGATGCTAACCAGAGAACGGCAGGACAGGAACAGCATGCTCTATTTCTGGGGGCCCCTGGCAGATCATCACATAGGCAGGAAAACAGCATTCACTGTGCCTGCTCTTGATCAGCAGAGTGACTTAAAACTGTCGTAGGAGATGTCTCAGATAACAAGATCTGCAGGTAACTGGACACGTTCATATGATAGGGGATACTTTGCAGGGAGGACACGAAAGAAAAGGACCCAGGTGACCATTTGAGACACCCTGACAATCTCCTCTGATACCAATGAAACAAACTATGACCCAAAATATCTTTTCTCATACAGGCAGAGGGGTCATCCTGAATCAGAAACCTCTTGGGGACACACAGAATACCAACATGGTGACATCCTCTGGCATAATCGGTGGTCAGTGATCTCTGTATAGATGAAGCCATTGTTTGACACCATTTTGATAGGGAAGGTGCTCACCTTACACAGACAAGGCCAAGAAGACCCGCGTAAAGTCAGATGAAAAGAAGCATGGGGCACCAGAATACGTAGTAAAGAGAACAGGAGGAGTGATGGCCCCTTACAGATTCCCAAATCTCTCCCTGGATCCAGCTGCTTACATACTCCCAGCTTTTTCCTCTTCTAACCCCAAAATGGTAACTCTTCCCCAAATCGATCTCCTGGCAGCTGCTGAGATCTATAGCTTGCCTGTCCTACAGTTTCCTCTATTCAATGCCAGTAAGATGTCTTTGAGTTTCCTTCCAAACCTGTTTAAATCCTATTACCAACTTCAAGGCATGGTAATGCATGCCTCTAAGGCCAGCACTTGGGAGGCAGGGGCAGATGGATGTCTGTGAGTTCGAGGCCAGCCAGTCTATAGAGCAAGTTCTATATCAGCCAGGGCTTGAAAAGACCATAACAGGTAAACAAAAATTTACCAATGAGGTCAAGAACTTCAAAAGGGGCCCTGTAGGTACTATTGACTCAGAGAGAACACCTCCAAAAACAGAAAACTATGTATGGTGGTAAACAGGCATAATGCCTGCACTCTGGAGGCTGAGATAATACAGGAATCTCAAGTTCAAGACTAGCCTGGACTACACAGCCAAGACTCAAAAAAAGAAACAAGTGAGACGGATGCGGGGGGATGAACGGACAGAGGGACGGAAGTCAGCAGATACCAAGGGATGCTTACTGAAACTCAAGAGTGGATTTAACATTGAGCCCCTGGCTCCTACCCCCATACATGAACACAGATTCCTTGGTCATGTGATCTCTCTCCTGGGGATATTTGCCCTGCTGATTACACTACAGTCAACCTAGAATACCTGGCAGGAATTTCCCATTTCTGAAATGACTTGCCTACTCCTGTTTAACGCTTGATTGAACTTCCTCAGCTCTACAGCTTCCCTGCCTATAAACCTAGAAACAGGGGCACCTGGCAGACTCCCAGGGACCCCCCCACACCCCCAACTAATTAGGCTTGTTTCCTGCCAGAATATCAGGGCAGCTCTCACCCTTCCTCAGGCTCAGGGTCTGCCAGGAGCCAGACACATCTGCTTGCACCATCGCTACCTGTTACCATAATGACAGCAGAATGAACGTTACATAATCGAAATGATGGTAAAGCGAAACGATGGTTAAAGCAAGTGAAACTTTTTTTTGGCGGGGGGGGGGGGGGACACTTATTTTTAGCCAGGCCTGGAGTGGTGTCATGCACACTCAATCTCAGTCGGCAGTCAGAAGATGGAGGCAGGGGAACTTCTGTGAGTTCGAAACCAATCTGGTCTACATAGAGAGTTCTATTTTGTTCCAGCTTTGGCTTCACAGTGATACACTGTCTCACAAAACAAATGGGGCGCGAGGGGGGGGGGGTGTCTCCGTGTGGTCCTGGCTGTAATCCAGGCCTGAACGCACGGATATCCACTCAAGTGCTAGGATTAAAAGCATTTGCTATAAAGCCAGCTATTTTTACTTTTTATCGCGTGTGTTTGTGTGTGTCTGCACATGGGTGTGTCTGCACATGGGTGTGTCTGCATGTGGGTGTTTACACAAGAGCATGTGTGCCCACGGAGGCCAGAGGCATTTGATTCCCAGAAAGCTGGAGTTACAGGAGGTTGTGACCCACCCCATCTGGGTGCTGGAGATTGAACTTGGGTCCTCTGGGAGAGCCGGGAGCATTCTGCCTCCTTCCCAGCCCATCAAGTTAAAACGTCCAGAGCGTTGATACAAGTGTTCCAAAGCAAACCAGACCTGCTGAAGACGGTACCAGACAACTGCTAACCAGGCCCAGTGTCTGAGGCCTGTAAAGGGTCACAGTTCGCGGCCTGCCTGGCCCTCGGAAGGACGCATTCATGCCAGCACGTGGAAGAAGTCCCCAGTGCCTTTTTTTTTTTTTTTTGTTTTTTGTTTTTCAAGACAGGGTTTTTCTGTGTAACAGCCCTGGCTGTCCTGGAACTCCGTAGACCAAGCTGGCCTCTTACTCATAAAGACACCCCCACAACCCCCCCCCCCCCACCCCCGGCTTCTGCTTCCTGAGTGCTGGGATTAAAGGTGTGCGCCACCATTGCCAGGCTACCCAGCGGTTACTTCTGTGGTAGACTAGAGCCTGGGCTGGGAGAGAAACAACTTCATGTTCTATCTTTCCGTATAACGAAAACGTTTACCACGTGCATGGATTATGTATTAAGTATAAATAAAACTGCCAAGCCTGAGAAGACCAAAGAAGTAGGTGCTAGCCGAAACATGCCGGAAACATGCTGGCACAGAGAGACAGGATGGGACAAGGAGTGTCCTCTGCCCTCGACCTTAGCCCTTCTGATTGGGCCATCCAGCTCTAGCACCATCGTTAATGTCCTCAGGCTTACACTGCAGGTCTGGCCACCTGGCAATCGCCACCTTTAACAAATATGAAGTCCCTATTACTTTAACAAAACAATGCTCCCTGTACTCAGGGTTCCACAGTGAAATAAACAAAGTTCCCTTCAAGCAGGGAGGGACCTGATTCTAGCAAGGAAACAACCAGCAGTCAAATATGATAGGGGAAGGGGAAAAAAGCTGATTGGAAAAGCCTACTGGTTGCTATTGAGACCAGGAAGAAGGTTTGTCTTAGAACTGGACTAACCAGGAGCCCAGCCTGTCTGATGTTGAAGCATGAGGTCTATCTGGTGCTCAGTCCCCCAATGCTGCTCCTGTCAGGGAACGACATACCCAGAGCCTCACCCTGAGTACCCCACTCTTACCCAGTCTCTGGGGACTAGGCGCTGTTCTAAACCCTCTCAGAACACGAGGCTTCCTCGAAGCTTCCAAGTAAGTATGGACTTTGCCCATCTTCAGTTAAGAGGGCGTGGTGACCATGGTGGAAGGGCAGTGAAGTGTGGAGCTCCCCAGCCTGCCTGCTGTGGCACACACACACACACACCCTCAGTCAATGATTGGGCAAGGATCTCGTGGTGTCCCAGGAGTGGTGCTTGTGGGTGGTGGGGGATCAGCTACTGAGGGATCCAGCTCCTAGGAAGTTGCTTGTGTGTGAGCGCCAGGGTAGTGGTAGGTCTGTTTTAGGAGCTCCAGCTGGTAGGGACCCTGCTGCTGAGGAGTCCCATTATAGTGAGGTCCTGATGCTGGGGATTGGGGGCGGGGGTGGGGGGGGGGTGGGGGGAAGCACACTCGCGGGCTGCCCTGTACTGGGTTCTACTGCTGGGGAGTCCTGCCACGAGGGCTCTAACTGCTGCAAAGTCGCTCTACAGGAGGTCCCGCAGTCCAGAGGTCGTGCTAGGGATCGCGCTACAGAGGGTCTGGCTGCTGGGGGAGGTCACGTTTGGTCGAATGGCTGCTATGCCAGCCAACATCAGGCCTCTCACCTGTCAGGTTTTTTCGGACCCCGCCGCTTCCCTTTAGAAGTTTGGACCATTTGATCGCCCTCTTGGTGAGTATCACCAGGTACGTGGAAAAAAATTCTTCATAAGCCACATAATCAAAGTCTTCGGGCCTTTCAAATCCATACGGATCGATCCTACAAACCACAAAAAGAACCTGTTTCCCGAACCAAGTTTCCGCGCCCGCTAGGATGCGGTTGGGGTCCAGGATCTCCGCCACCCGACACCCCTCGGTTCTCTCCTCAGTCCATCCTCGGCCCGCCGTTCCTCCCTCTCTTCCTCCCCTCCTCCATCCCTTCCACTCCTCCGCCCCTCATTCCCCTCTCTTCTCTCCTAGGACCAGAGCGCGTCCCCCGCGCAGCAGCGATCCGCTCAGATCCAGTCCAGGGCAGGCGCCCGGCACCCCGCGCGCGGCCTCCGCACCTACCTGGGCACCCGAGCCCGTGCCGCCTGCGCGCGCTCCGCGGGATCCATGCGGAGAAGGGCGGCCGATCGCGGGACTCCGACGCAGCGCAGCCCAGAGCGCTGGACCCCGGTGCGCCGCCTGCCCTGGGGCGCGCGAGTGCTTCCGGCGGGGGCGTGGCTGAGACGGGGGCGGGACGGGGACTAGGGGCGGAGCCAGTGTGGGGGCGGGGCGGGGCGGGTGGTGGACTGGGCGGGGCTGGGGTGGGGGCCCTGTGGGCAGGGGAGGGCCTAGGGACTCCGGGCGCGCAGACCGGGTGCACCTGCTGCAGCCTGGCTCTAGGGATCCCAAAAAGTCATCGAGATGGAAACCTTCGCCGAGCTTGGAAGACCGGGATCCACTTTGCAGTCGTCTAAGACTCCTTCAAGCCTCAGTGCCTGGCTGGCTGGACTTTGGAATTGAAGCTCCTATGCAGAAAAAGAAAGTCTTTTTTTTTTAATTATTACTTTTATCTCTTCCATTTCAAGGCTGAGAACAAGCGACTTTGAAGGCCACCACCTACGGATACTCTCTTCTCCAAACCTCAGAACCTGACTCTAGCCTCGGAACAAGTCGCTGCCACCTCCCTGCCTCTTCTCGCTACCGCAGGGGCATAGTGCCATGGTCCTGGCCTCCTTTTGCCCCTGTCCCCATAGCCCGCCGTCAGGTTCTTGGGATTTCAGACTCCGGGCATGGAAACCAGCGGACCGCTTTTCTTAGCGAGGTGAAACCCGAGAAGACATTTCTGAGTCGTGATTATCTACGTGCTGAGGTAAAGCACCCTGGGGTCAGCGGTGGCACCGATCGGACATCTCAGAAGCACTTTTTTTTTTTTTTTTTTTTCAGAAGCACTTTTTGTGTGTGTGGTGTTCTGTCCTGAGCCCCTTACAGCTGCCCGCTAGAAGTTCCTTCTGAAAAAGTCCGTGAACTTTGCTGGCTGTGGTAGGGAACTAACCTGGGCTAGTTAGACGCCTCAGAGAAGTACCTAACAGGAAGCCCACGGGGAGTGTGGGGGTGGGGATTAATAGAATTTTGGCTGGTCCATTGGAGACACTGGTGCTGGTGCTCAGTACTATTCTCCATACACCCCCAGTGTAAATGAACCTGACTTCAATGCTAAGAATAGAGACAGTACCCCAGTGTGACCCTGTCTCCCAGCTACACAAGTATCTCTAGGCCTTTGCTTCATTTTCTATCGGTTGTGAGGCCACAGTAAGACAGATGGAGAGAACATGGGTTTGTTTTTATTTTTTAACCCTCTCCTTGTTTTGACCAAACCGTAATAAACAAAGTTTCTATACTAAGTTTTGGTGTCCCCATTTTTCTTTTATTTACTTAAACTTTAATCTTTTAATTATTTTGTTTTTATTTATTTATTTTAGAGGCAGGGTCTCACTGTGTGGCTCTGGTTGGTCTACATCTCACTACGTATACCAGGCTGATAGAGAACTCAGAGAGATCTGCCAGCTTGTGCCCCACCCCTGGGTGCTAGGATTAAAGGCATGAGCCTCGATATCTGGCCCCATCTTTCTTTTAGAATACAGCAAGAAATGAACCTGGGAATCCAGTTAGAGCCACAGCCAATGGGATTTAGCGCTGGCATGAACAGAACCTCAGATTCCAGCTCCCACTGATGCCCAGTTTGCTTGCTGCTCCCGGGGAAAACTTGCAGAGATCAGGTCAGCCTAGTAGTGAATGGCTTTTTAACACCAAGCTTCCATTCTCCCGGAACTGGCAGCCCTGCCCATGCTCTGGCCTTGGCCTTTCCCTCTCGGGAACTCAGAAACACGACAGGACTTCATTCTTTCCCATTCCTGACTTTCCTCTTGGCCTGGCCACACAGGGCTGGAGTGCTATCTGCCAGGAGACCGCCTCCACCTTTGCTCGTCCTCTCCCTCCTCCTCCTCAGCCATTTATTTATCTATTTGGGTCTTTTATTTTTTGAGACAGGGTCTTTCTATGTAGTCCTGTGTCCTGGAGCTTACTATGTAAGTAGACCAGGCTCTCCTTGAACACACAGAGATCCTCCTGCCTCTGCCTCCTAAGCCTATTTTGGTTTCCTCCCTGAGATGGTCTGTCACAGTCAAAACAAATGAAAGAGACAAAACTCAATTCTGACAGCCCAACCCCTTGTCCCTTTTCTATGTCCTGCTCCGACCCCTCCCTCGGCATCTTCGATACCCCTCTCTTGGCAACTCCTGTCCTTCTGTTGATGGAGCTTGGGAATCCGACCTTGGTCCTTCCTGTGGCCCTGATGCAGCCTAGGAAACACCCATGGGCCTCCTACACTTGAACTTGAGAATAAAGGCATACTCTCCACTGAGAGAGTTTTGTGGCCAATGTGACCACAGGGTGGGATGCTGGCCCTAGCCAGTTAGTGAGGTAAGAATAGCTGCCCTGTAGGAAGAATGCAGAGGGAAGATATCTGGCTCCCACAGAGGGATGAATATGACCCACTTGTCCCACTAAGCACCTACAAGGGACTAGAAGACCTAAAAGCCACATGGTCCTGATTCCCCCCTCCAAACCCCAAGTGTCTTAACATAGCCTGACCCACAGTGGCCCACGGTGGTCAACCATACCCTGACCAGTCCTAAGCCACCCTTTGAGGCATGTGATCTCTTCAAGGCCTTGGATGGACAGCCCTGGACAGTGAAAACTCAGCACAATGACCCAGAGTCTGAGAGAAATCTAGCCTTGCTTCAGGAGTTAAGCGTTTCTGAGGCTATTCCATCAGACTAACAGAAAGCAATATTCAAGATGGATGGGGTACTGGTGTAGAAGAATGAAGATTGTAGCAACCAAATCCACTGGCATATCTTCAATGCCTTGGAGAGGTGACAAGCTAGACTCTGGATGGGGCTTAAGGAGCCTCACCTCTCGAGAATGTGTGGGTGATTCAGCTTTCTTGTCTGGTGAGTATTTTCTCACGTGTGGGATTTCATTTTTATTTTTGTAGTTCTGGAGACTGAATCTTGGGGTTCCTGCTTGATAAGCAAGTGCCCGACCACTAAGCTTTTTACTTTTCCTTTTGAAACAGAGTCTCCCTAAATTGGCCAGATTGGCCTTGAACTCACTCACTAATCCAGGTAGCCTTTCGTGATCCTTCTGCCTCAGCCTGGGATGACAGGCCTACACCCCCAGGCCCCCCGCTGATTTTGATTTTTAGCTCCTGGTTTGAGGTCTAGCCATCATGGCCTGTAAGTCAGGGCAGCAAGAATTTGAAGCAGTTGATTGCATTGCAGTCAAGAAGCAGAAGCCAATGAATGTTTGGACTCAGTTTAGGTGGTGGTTTAAACGAGAAGGACCCCCAGAGGCTCATGTGTTCTAATGCTTGGCCCCCAGTTGGTGGAACTGTTTGGAAAGGATTAGGAGGTGTGGCCTTGTTGGAGGAGGTGTGTCCCTGGGGGTGGGCTCTGAGCCCAGGCCATTTCCAGTTAGCTCTCTCTGTCTCCTCCTTGAGGATAAGGATATCAGCTCTCAGCCACTGTTGTGATGCCATGTCTGCCTGCACGCTGCCATGCTCCCCACCATGATGGTCATGGACTTGAACCCTCTGGGACTGGGATCTCATTAAACTCTTCTATAAGTAGCCTTGGTCATGGTTTCCTATCAGAGCCTACTTTTGCCTTTTTAACAAAAAAGTATTTTTATTAATAATTCTTTGAGAATTTCATACATTCACACACACAAAAAATTTCTTTATTTTTGTTTGTTTGTTTGTTTGTTTGTTTGTTTTTGAGACAGGGTTTCTCTGTGTGGCTTTGGAGCCTGCCCTAGAACTTGCTCTGTAGACTAGGCTGGCCTCAAACTCATAGAGATCCACCTGCCTCTGCCTCCTGAATGCTGGGATTAAAGGTGTGTGCCACCACTGCCCGGCCATACAAAATATTTTTATATTCACCAATAACTACTCCACATAGCTTTTCCCAGACTTACTCAGTACTGCCTACTCTTCCCAACTTTTGTCTTCTTTTATCTTTTATTTTATTTTAATTTTTTGAAACAGGATCCATCACCCTGGCTGACCTAGAACTCTCTATGGAGACCAGACTGGCCTCAAATAATAGAAATTTAGTCAGGTGGTAGTAGCACATGCCTTTAATCCAAGCACTCGGGAGGGAGAGGCAGGCAGATCTCTGTGAATTTAAGGTCAGCCTGGTTTACAAGAGTTAGTTCCAGAATAGGCTCCAAAGTTACCGAGAAACCCTATCTTGAAAAACAAAAACAAAACAAAAGAAAAAAAATACAAATCAGAAATTCACTTGCCTTAGCTTCCCAAGTGCTGAGATTAAGGGTGAGTGCCATAACACCTGACCCTAAAGATTTATTTTAAATGAGTGTTTCATATGTGTGGGCATCATGCAAATGCAGGTTCCCCTGGAGACCAGAAACAGTGTTGAATCCCTTAGAACTGAAGTCACAGATGGTTGGAGCCACCATGTGGTGGTGCATGCCTTTATTCCCAGCATTCAGGAGGCAGAGGCAGATGGATCTCTGTGAGTTCGAGGCCAGCCTGGTCTACAAGAGCTAGTTCCAGGACAGGTTCCAAAGCTACTGAGAAACCCTGTCTCAAAAACAAACAAACAAAAATTGATGTTGTTGGACTTCGTCTGAGTCCTTTAGCTTGGAAAAAGAGCACCTTCTGATTTGTGTTATAGGAAATAGTTCCTTGCCTATGTGCTGTGGGTTAGACTGGCCACAGCCCATGTGACAGGCCAGGCATAGGTCCCTCCAGCCCCACCTCTGACTCATAAAATCTGTGCAGGTGTCTTTGCTGAGCCACAGGCCTCTCTATCCCTCACCTTTACCCTACCCGGAGCAGGGCCCTCTGGGGAGCAGGTTCTCTGGCTGACCTTTGCCCAACCCCACATGCTGCTCTTGTGATTTTTAAAAATAATTTGGGCTGGAGAGATGGCTCAGTGGTTAAGAGCATTGCCTGCTCTTCCAAAGGTCCTGAGTTCAATTCCCAGCAACCACATGGTGGCTCACAACCATCTGTAATGAGGTCTGGTGCCCTCTTCTGGCCTGCAGACATACACACAGACAGAATATTGTATACGTAATAAATAAATAAATAAATAAATATTTTAAAAAAAAAAAAAATAATTTGTTTATTT